CCAGCTATTTCGAAGTTGCGGCATGGTATAGACCAGCTATAAAAAATGATGAGCCTTCGAAAGTTGGGGTGGCTATCGGACGTCTAAAACTGATGTTGTGAGATTGGACTGGAAGTGGGATGAAGATGCTGTTGTGTTGTAATAAAACAAGGTTGTTTTTATTGGCGGTAGATTTTGCTTACATTGTGAGGAAATTCTACTTTTAAAGTACTTTTACTAAATTCCTGACATTAGGGGATTTTTCTGTTACGGAAGTACTCTCCGTAATTTTTGTTAAACTTTCCTTTCTGGAAACTGTGCGAAAAAGATTGCGAAGTAATTGACGTATACATATAATAACGGACATATGGAAGGTTCATCAAAAGAAAACATTTGTTGTTAGCTATATTTTTATATTTACATTTGCGTACAAGCCCAATCTTAATCCTTGACAGGCAATTCATGAAGAACAACGCCTACGCTAGTTGACAGAGCCTGAATCTAATTGTTATATAGACTGTGCTTTGTAAGTAACTGTCCTTCCTGCTTATTGCCTATTCAATCAATCTGGAAATTTAAAGCAGTACTGAATTTGATGCCACACTTTAGCATCTCTTTTAGATATGTTATTGTGGCAAGACTGTAATTAGCGCTAATTCCAGATTTACACATGTATAAACCTGAAGCCAGAGCTAATTAGTATATAGACTGCGAAAAAAATAAGTCAAATTAATTGTTTATCTTTATGCACTGTGTATTGCAGAGTGCATAATCTTTGGGACCAGCGTGTGGCAATTAATAAATCAAAAGTGCATCATCATCGATGGCCTGCATATGGCGAAGAATATTTGGCACGATGCAACGAACACGGTTTCTGGGAAATACCAGTTGGAATTCAACCTTATGAAGATGTTAAAGTTGCTGTCGAAAAACTGTACTGTACACTGTAAGCATGCCGTTACCGACTTCCCGTTCCCGTGACTTCAGCTGTTCATAGACTATACTGTATATATGGCTCGTCACACTTGGGAGCTAAATTTGGGTCTTTTAGCTCCCTGCATAAGCAGAAAACATCCTCCTGAACTATTCAGCATCCTAGATTTCGCTCCTAAATTAATAATTTTTCCTGCCAAAACTTTCACAGGGCCATGCGCGGAACCCAGGC